TTTACGCTTTTGTGCTAACTATAATGCTTTCTTCCGAACTGATGGGAAAATTAACTTTTAGGGTAGTTCTGATAGTACTGCCTATCCTGTAGGAAAACTCTCATGCAGAGAGGTCTTTAAACTACAGATTCATTGTCAGTACAGTCACAAAGTTGGTCAGACTGCAGTTTCTGTGTAAATTTCCGTATTTTCTGTAAGTGGGTGTCTACCCTTGATCTAGAGTTCATTGTTATATCTGTACAATAGTATGGCTCCACGGAAGCCTGGTAGAATCCTCTACCAAGCTGATCTATGCTCAAGTACCACTATGAAAAAATAGATTTAATGGATCTGTTAAAGAATTAAAATTTGAGTCAAATTGCTCTGGCACCACTGAAATACCATCATCCATAAAAGCTAGTGATCATTCTTGTTATGTGCTGAAAACTCATCTGCTTTGAAAGCAGCTGGTAGAAGCTGGCTCTGTTCCTGGAGCTCTTTATTGAAAATCTCTTTAAGCTAGTGAGAAATTTCTCTCTTCTTTCCGAGAGAGTGTTTTTCAGTCATGATAATTTCTGGCAAACCACAAAAAATTGTCCAAAATTTATTTTTAAATTGCATTCAGGGCTATATCCAAGTTCCTATATAAACTAGTTTTGAATGTAATTTTTATCAGTAGTTCTGTTTCATACAGCATTCTTCTTCAGAATTAGGTATCTATAGGAATATTTATTTTAGCCAGGTCAAAATCCTGACTCCAGCTGACAAGCCCAGGTAAACTGAAAACGGACATGTGAGACTTCTTACATCAATTAGCATGAACAAAGTACACAGAATGAGATCTCTTGGGAGGGAAAAATAATAAGCACGTACATGAAGATGTTTGAAAGCAGCTTCTTGCTGAGTTCAACAAATACGCAGTAACATCAGAAAGAACATGTAGCTGCTACTTTTAAAATATTCCATTTGTCTGTGATGTCTTGTACTCTTCATCCCTTCCCCAATGGGGCTTTTTGTTTCGTTCTGCTTGTTTTGTTTCTGGAAGAACGCTTCTACCCAGTAGAGATCCAGGGACAGATTGACACAGTGTTTTTGTAGATTTGTTGATTAGGCTTGCCATAGTTTGAGTAAATGAAACTTCTTCTGTTACATGACTGGCTTATGTAGTTTAATATTATTTCTCTAAATTAAGATTAACCATTGAGAACTTCACCACTAGTGCTCTTTATGTCCAAAGTTGACGGAAGAAGCAACCATCTGAGGTGAAATAACTCCATTCACAAATTATGCCTTTATATTTTATTTGTGAATAGGCTAATCCAAGAACTGCTTCAAGGGATTATTCTGTGAAAATACATATCTGTCAAATACAATTTGTCTAATCCAAATGTGTTTCTTATCTTTCAATGTTCCACTGTTCAGTTTCTGTCACTGTTCTTCCCTTTGCAGCACAGTTCCTGCTATGGTGTTTTAGTAAGACTTTCACTAGAGAAATTCTTAGACTTTGCCACTGTTAGTATCAATTCTGACCTATCAGTACTGGAAACAGTGGCAGTTATTCTTGCAAGCCATTAGTGTCAGGCTTGTTTTAAGTAGATCTGCTCAAAGTCACGTTGCGTGACATGCAGCGTTACGCACCAGATTGCTACTGCTACTGATTGCCAACAGCATCTGGGTTTGCTAGGGCTGGGAATGATGTTAAGGTTTGCATGCTTAGACAAACCGGTTTCACACTGAACAGAAAGCCACCAAGAGCTCTCAAACGCCTATCATATCTCAGCTGAAGGGTAGTGATAAATAGCTTAGACTATTAAATCTTAAATTACTGTCTTTTTGGGTAGAGTACATGAAGACCTACATGGTGTGCCTATGATGTGAAATTGCTCAGGGATGTTTATGACTAAAGATACCGTTCGTATGCTTTAAGATGCTATTCATCGTTCTCAGATGCTCAAATTGGAGACCAGAAAACCAAGAAAGATGGCTGTGCTCAGAATTCTGCCCAGTGATTCCTATATAAGTCTCAGTATCTACTTGATGTACAATCTTTCCCTTGGAAAGATACCAGTCGCTTTACAGCTTTGTGTATCAAAGAATCCATCGTATTACTATGCAATTATTTAAAAAAAACCCCAAATAAATACATGCTGCTTTGTTTTTCAAATTATGCCTGATTTGTTCTACTTTTGCCTGCTAGATTAAACATTCCTTTATACTGGAAGTCAATGCGCCCCTCGATGTCAATGAAACCCATGTTATTGTAGATGAATGATCCCACAATTGTACTGTAGGGGTCTCTGGCAATGGAACCCCTTGTTTCTCTTGTTGAAACAACAGGGATTGCTACCTATAAGCCCTTTTGTTCCTGGAATCTGTGAGTTGATTAAAGTTCAAACGAAAGATTATTTATTTATTTCCTCCACACATAAAAGGCACATAAAACAAGTTGTAAAAACAAAAAAGGACCCCTATGATCTTATTTACACTTTGATCTTTTCTTGATGGTTTCTTGAAGTTCATGTCAGCTTCTTTACTATTCCGTATGTAACATGCCCTACCTTTCCCTGTAAATTTCCTTGCTGGTCTATTTGCTTTTATTGGCATACCCTTGATTTCCCCTCACTGTTCGTGCAAACTAGTGTTCCTTTTTTTTTAGCCTTTCAACGCTTAGCATCTTCAATCCTAGATTCACAGTGGAAAAAGTAAGCATTGTCTAGCAGGGAGACAAGGAGGCATTTAGCAATCCCACACCTCCTCCCACTGGGGAGTTTTCTCCTCCCATATGTATCATTGGGAAATCTCTTATTTCTCCCTCCTCTTCACCTCTTTTCAGTCACCTTGTTCAGGAATACAATAATGAAATGGATATGCCTCTGGAGGTTTAGGTGACCTGCTTGGCATTCCAGTCTTCAGCTCGGGTCTTGGTGCCAATCTTGGTAAGCTACCTGCTAGGGTTAAGGGAACCTGTTTTCATTCCCAGCTCAGTCAAGGTATGTAAGGGTTGCAGACCTCTGCCCAAAAGTGCTGGCTGGTAAAGCTTGTGTCCTCGTGCTCACTGGTTCCAAAATTCCAGAGAGGTTTGTCAAGACCTCTGTTATCTGTTACTGCTTAAACATGATGATCAGGATTTTCACGGTCCCATCTTTGGGCCTGTGGCCCCCACTAGAGATGTTTCACACTTCAAATGTTGGTGAAATGATTTCTAATTGAAGTCACGTTGATTACAATTATGGAAGAAGTCCAGCTATTATGGTAGATCTTTCTTATGCAGCTGGGTTGTTTTGTTGCTTAGCACCAGCTATACCTATAGATACTGTCTAGATTTCTCACCTGCTTTTTTCCTGACTCATTTAAACCTAAATAGAAGTACTTTGTTTTCCCCTTAGCCTTGCATCTCTAAGAATTAATCTGTCAAAATCTTGACATGAGAAGGTGTATTTTTCTGCCTTTCCTGTTTCTTAAATAGTTTGTTTGTTGCTGAGACATCTGTAGGGATGGCTATCTCCATGTCAAAATGTGTTACAGGATGCATTAGAGCATGCTGTGAGTTTCCTGAAGGGGGAACTTAAATGGTGTCAGACAAGCTCAACTGGTGGAAAGATGAGGAAGGATGAGGCACGGATGTGCTGTGCATGGATACTTCAAAAAAGCTCCTTATTACTCGATAATAAGATATATTGCCAATCATGACTGTGGCCTCGTATTTAATGTGTGGTGCAGTTATTTCATTACTCCAATGTTTTCATTATGCAACCATGACTGTGGCCTCGTATTTAATGTGTGGCACAGTTATTTCATTACTCCAATGTTTTCATTATAATCAAAATGTAATTAATATTTTTATGGAAAATACATTTTTGCACAGAAATTCATGCTACCATCCTCCTTATTTAAGAGACTCATTGCTAGTTGTGTTTTACTCTGTTAATAGCAATGAAATACCTAATATAAGCTAGTTGTCTAAGCAGTTTATGCTCTCAATGGAGAGAGACAGATAATGATGCAAAATGTCTTGTTTAATCTGAAAACCAGTGTGAATTGCCCCAGGTAGGTGCCTATCTCATCCTATAGATTACAGAAAAATCCTAAACAACTTGTTTTGCTTAGAATAGAATACTTAACTTTTAAAATCTCTTTTCTTCTAAATGAAGCAAGAACTCCTATTAAACTGGTGGCTGAAATAGTTGTAGTGATTAGTGAAACTTAGATTGTCATGCCTCCATTCCTTCTGTGAATGGATGGAGGAAAATTACCTACCCACAGTTTTTTTACTTTATCTTCTCCTATATATATCTCTCTCATGTAAATTAGTGGTTCAACTAAACTTAGAAATATATTTATAGAGAAACTCAGATTTCAAATAATAAAATGCATTTTTTCATCTTGCTACAGACTGTCGAATAAGCATGTAAGATTAAGTGAGCAATAAATGTAACTTCAGCTATTAGGGTTTTATCTTTATCTTTCCATGAGTAATTGTTAGATACTTCAAAGATTGATTTGAACAGATTAATATTCATTAATTCATAGGTATCAGAATACCCAAGGCAATTGTTATAACAGTCTGGAAAACACTGGTGTCTAGTGTTCACCCTCCAGATTTAGTTTTCCACCGTCATGTAGCTGGACTATTTAAAAATATGGACGCTTATACACACACGTGTGTGTGTATATATATCTATATATCCCCCACCCACTTTCTTGAGCTCAAATGAGCGCTTTAATATAAGTTCTGTATCACTTCTATCTGTTGTTCTACCTAACCATCCTTCCCCTTCCTTAGTGTTCATTCCTGGTGTGCCTCTGCTGGGTGTGGTGAGGAGGCAATGGAATGAAGTGGTAAGAAGGAGTGTGAGTAGGTAAGATGGCATACCTATGCTTCTTCCAGTGACAAATCTAAGCAGCCCCTATCCTTGGCACTTCATGCACATATTGCTGCCTGTTCTCTCTTATTTTAAGAAAAAAAAAAGCCTCAAAGGATCCGTTTTCTAGCCTGATGAACTCCTTGGCTAACAAAACAGTTAGAAAGGAAAGACGTGAAGGTTTTGGAACAAATCCGAGAGTACGCAGAGCAGAAGGCGGGGACGACAGCTTGCACCGGGCCTGTGACCGGAGAAACCCGAGGTGTCTAACCACGCCTCAGGAGTCAGCAGTGCTCGCAGAGCAATCGCTTTTCAGTCAAAGACCGCGGCAGAAGGAAGAGGACCCAAGATTCAGAACCGTCTTGAGGGGGACGAGATGGCCAACCGCCCCTCCGCGCTGCGCGCTCCATGCGCCGCTGGGCGGGTGAGGCCTGCGAGTGCAGAGCCCCCTGCAACGGCGCCACGGGTCCGCTCCCGACAGGGGCCCGGCGACCCGGGCCT